CACAGCAGTCCTACTACTAATTATTTAAGCTCCCTCTGTCATTCCTGGTAATTCTGATTACATGGCATAGAGAATGTCTTGCAATCCTTCATTCTAATGGAAACTTCGATGAGGATGTATATGGATGAGAGAGGCCCTCTGGAACACTATGCTTTTCCATGACTATTGATTTGTACCATTTGCTCCTAACTTTCATCTTCTACCACTGTCTTATTTATTCTTCTTTTCCAGTCAATTTTCCAGTAAAGACTGTTCCAGAAAATAGCCCGAAGGTTTGTCATTGGGCCTGAAGGCAATATATACCACTGTGCATATTAGCACATACTGAGTGAAAGTATAACCCTACTCTAGATGACCATCCAATGCTGAAGGTTATGATGCTATTCTTGGTATTTTGGTTCAGACCCAAGATGAGCCTGAGAATTGTATCCATTTGAGGAAATTCTTAATGACCGAAATATCTCTCCCAGCGGTATTCATCATCAAATACTTACTTCCTGGCACATAGTACTTTTTATTTTTTGTTCAAACAATGAAAGCAGTTTTAGTGAATCGGTTCAGCAGGAGTCTTTGTATTAACTTTGTTTAGTATGGAGTTTGGAACTGAAGAAGCATTTAATAATTATTATTTTTAAGTTTAGAATGTGATATGTCAGCCCTTCCTGGAACACTGTTTAGACACTGAAATGCAGCGAAGAGACTACATTGGAAACCTCTGAAAGAGTTTGTATTCTTGGCCTGTAGATGGCACTCTTTTACTATAGTTTAGAGAAAGCAAGTAGCAAAAGGTAAAGCAGCACTCCATAATGTTGAAGTGACCAACTACCTCGTTTTTCCCCTCCTCATCCCTACATAACCTTCTCTCACTTCCGTTTTATCTCAGGCAACTATCTTTTCCATCCATTCGCCTCTCCTTAGGTGCCTAGAGATATCTTGCTGCCATTCTCTCTAGTTTCTTATAGAAAATATCTTTTGTGCTTACTAATAGTCAATCTGTAGAAATAGGAGCAGCCACGGAATTTTTGGGGCCCTGTGTAAAATGAAATGCAGAACTTGTTCAAAAAGCATTCAGAATTTTAGGACAATACAGAAGATCATTAAACAGAGCACAGGGCCCTTTGAGCCTGCAGAAGACATACACCCATGGAACCAGCCATACTTTATAATGTAAATATTTCCTTCTTCCCATCCTACCTTCCATTATTCTAATTCCCTGTCCCCTGTGACCCACACCCAAAAGGGCTGCTTAAGAAGGGAAGGAATCACCAAATGTTATTCTGACATCATAGAATCTTAGCACTGAAAGAAAATTTAGAGATCTAGTTCAATCCTCTCATTTTGAAGATGATTGAACTACATTCCAAAGAGATGAAGAGACTCTCCCAAAGTCCCCAGCTATTTATGTCACAGGCTGGACTGGAACTAAGTGTTCTCATCTACCAGGCCAAGGCTCACTCTCTCTCATGCAGACTCCATGAGAGGTATTTTAAGAAAAGAGTTTTCCCATCTACTCAGGATATACTTTGCCCGCATTTTCTCTACAGGAGAAGGGTACATGTTTGTGTTACATTTGAATACCAGCTATATACTAGGTATTACACTAGGTGTCTTACACATAATACCTCAATTAGCAACAGTCTCAGAAAATCATTACATTTTCCCCATTTTTCAAGTGAGAAAAATTGAGAATCAGAACTTGAATTTTAGTCAGCAAATGGGAAGACAAGAATTTGGTCAAGTCAATGATTCTAAAACCTATTCTCTTTCACCACATCATTCTTGAATTTTAGGAAGGCTGAGTCAGCCTGTGTTTCCTGAACATTGGTCTTGTTTTTGGTCAGCTCAGAGTGACCTGGGGTCTCTTTCCAGGCTGTCTATGTTCTTCAAATTTACCAGGCTTGTTACTGCCTTGGTGTCTTTGCTCCAGGGTGTTTCTTCTGCTTGAAACCCTCTTCACCCAGATATTTCATGAAAAACAAGACCACGTGTCGGATAGGTAACGGGGGTTCTGATCGTATAGGGCATTGTAAGAACATTGGCTTTTTCCTCTGTGTGAAATGGGAGCCATGCAGCAATTTGAGCAGAGAAGTGACGTGATCAGATTTAGATTTTTAAAGGATCCTTCTTGCTGCTGTGTTGAAAAAGAGTCTAAAGTGGGTAGATTAGGGAATGTAGAAGTTTGGAGGCTTTTTAGGGAGTTATGACAGTAATCCAGGATAAAGATAATGGTGGCTTATACTAAGGTGATAGCAGTGGAAGTGATGGGAAGTGGTTGGATTCTGGAGTCATATGTGTATGTGTTTTTATATTTTTACCTTGTTGTGGAAAATCTCAAAAACATTCAAAAGCACAGAGATGAGTATAATGGATTCCCATGTTCCTACTCAGTGAACCTATCATGTGTTATTATGTGTCAGGCACTTTGCAACAGCTGTAAGAATTGCCAACTTGTACCAATCTTCCTCCCCTACCCTAGACTGGGGAGAAAGCAATTTGAAGCAGTTCCCAGATACCATATTTCATGTGTAAATATTTCAGCTTCTACTACTCCAGCTGCTTCTGACTGCCCCAACGTTCTGGTATCCACCTTATAGTTTCTGCTTGTTCACGGTTTCATGTACTCCTTACTTCTACTTGTTGTCTGCCCTATGTGTCCTCTATAAACCTTTTTCCTTCCTATCAGCTACAAACTGTGTACCTCTCAAATTCACACTTGCTAAAAAGAGGTTCTTGTAGGTTCAGTCAGTTATTTTCCCTTCTACACAGAGCTCATGATCTGGCTAAATTGTGGTAGATTGGGTGCTGTCGGTTCAGGGACCCTCTTTTGGCCAAGCAGGGTTTTGTAATGATAAGGTTAGTTTTCTCAAAAAAGGGTTATTGAAATGGAAGTTGCTTAACAAATAATAATAGGCTGCTCTCCAATACTAATAAATAGTGGAAATTTAATACTAAAAAGGATATAAATTGTGAAAAAAGTAAGCCTGCAGTGAGACTAGAAATAGATGTGTCTAACCACTGAACATGATTATTTTACAGTCTGACCTGACTCATTTAGAGTGCTATTCTTGGGTGCCACTGAGGAATTAAGGACTTTTTTTTCTTAATATATTTTTGTTTATTACAGGCTAAGTAATAGCATATATCATAATGATCTAGACTGGAAGTCAAGACCTACATTTAATTCTTCTGTTCATCATGGACTTTGCACCATATTAGACAAGCTAAAAAACTTCCTTATGCTTTTGTCTCCCTTAAAAGAGATTAGTACCTGCCTTTTCCTGATTCATGTATGAAAGACAGATAAGATTAGAGGGATAAAAGTACATTGAGCTTTTATGAAGAAAAGCATGTGAAAATTTATATAACTACTATTTCCTATGTGAACGTTTTTATGAAATTATAAAATGAACATAGATTTAAGGGTTTTTTATATAAATTTAAGGAGGACAAGTATAGTTTTGTTACATGGATATATTGCATAGTGGTAAAGTCTCGCCAGTAACCATCAACCCCGGAATAATATACATTGTACCCATTAAGTAAATTCTCATCCCTCACCCCACCCCCCACCCCGGCTGACCTTCCAACCCTTCCAGGTCTCCAGTGTCTATTATTCTGCGCTCTCTGTTCATATATATACATTATTTAGCTTCCAGTTATAAGTGAGAACACACAATATTCAAATTTCAAAGATTTACCATACTCTCTAATCTATTCATTTTTATCAGGTACTCAAACTTTTCTTTCTACATTTTAATGTATATGTCATATGTGTATACCATGTAGAACAGTGTATGACATGTAGTAAGAACTATGTAAATGTTAAGCTGTTGTCTGCATCAGTGTGAAAAAGAATTTATCAAAAGTTTGTAGCGTTGCAGTTACAAAGGCTTAAAAATTTGACACCCCCTCCATCCCCTAACATATACCCTGCTTTGGAGCACATAAAATAGTACATCATGTGAAAATATGAATAACAGTACACTTTCTGAGTCCTGCAAAATTGGCAATATATGTGTTTATGTGAAAAAAAAATACAGCAACAACCAAAAAGAAATGGAGAGGTTAAAAATGACACTGGTAACTGATAAGGCCATTAGTGGACAGACTGCATCAGAATCACTAGGAAATTTTGTAGAATTCTTAGTTCTACTAGAGATTCTGATATAGTAGAATAATAGTTGAGATTAAGAAGGCAGAAGTTGTTGAAGTTTTTCAGATGATCCTGATTTTCAGCCAGGTATGGTAATCACTGATGTGTAGAAAAATGTTATACAACATTTAATTTAACTTAGTACATCATTTATTTCCTATCATCCTAATCAAAGTGGTATGTACTGGGAAATATCTACCCCCAGGAAAGAGGACTGGGAGGATATCTATCAAATTCAGAATGACAATTATCTCTGGATTATGAGTTTATGAAACTATTTATTTTACATTTGTGTTTTTTATTTCTAAGTTTTCTGGTTGAGCATATATTATTTTTATAATAATATTCACAACCAGTGCAAGAAATTTATTCGTAATCAGTGCAAGATTTTAAAGACTCATATGCAGCCTATGGTTTTAGTTTATCAAATGTAAAGAAAAAAACTTGGCAGGCTGAGGCAGGAGGATCTCTTGAGGCCAGGAGTTCAGGACCAGCCTGGGCAATATAGCAAGACCCCATTTCTAAAAAAAAATAAAAACAAAAAAAAATTAGCTGGGCATGGTGGTATGTAACCATAGTCCTTGCTACTCAGAAGGCTGAGGCAGGAAGATTGAGTCCAGGAATTTGAGGTTACAATGAGCTATGATCTCCTTACTACATTCCAGCCTGATTGACAGAATAAGACCCTCTCTCTACCAAAAAACAATCTGTCAATGAATATTCACATACTTTTTCTTTTAAAAGGCAAGTCTACATATAAAGCAACATGGAAACAATATTTATGTTTGTTTTAAAAAATGTCACAAATTCTTTTAGTAAATATTTATCTTCGAGAATATAAAACAAATTAAACACGTATTAGCTTTTACTTCTTTTGCTTTGGCAAGAATGGAAATATACCAATGTTTATAAAAGGACCAGTCAGTCAGCAACCTTATACTTGATGGGGAGAGAGAAACGGTTCTGGTACAATATAGATCTTCCGTCCAATTTTTATTTTTGGCTGTGCTCCAAGAATAATGCTCAATCCTTTTTAAAGATTCTTTTGGCTTCTACTCCTTCATATACATAAGTCTGAAAGGTGTTAACAAACAGAAGAATTTACCATTAAGATTGACATCTAAATTAATGTTAATTCTGTAGAAAATTAAGAAAAAATTTTAAGACATTAAGAAAAAATATTAGTATCATCATAGTTTTAAATGAGTTTATACTATTTTTTCTTGTAGTTGATAGCAACATTTTATTCAGATATAGGATACAGCCATTTAAAAACACATGTTGATTTGTAGTCATTTACATTTTCAGTTAAAATAGGCATTGGTTATTTGACATATATTTAAGTTCTCTTTAGTAAATAGGCATCAGAAAATAGCTATACAATATTGTTAAAATCAGAAGGATATAAGAGAAAAGAAGTAGTCTGTTTACTGGAGATGTAGCTCAGCAGTAACAAAAGTTATTGTTACGTAGTCATTTTTACCTTTGGAAAACAGCTATAAATTTTGCAACTCACCTGGACTAGTTCACCGCCTATAATTTCTCGGACAGTATTCAGTTCTTTTCCATTGTCTGTCCGTTTGAATTTTCCAATAAGTTTATTTCCCTCAAGGGTCCAGGTACCCTACATATTAATTATAATAATATGGCATTTATTAGGATTTTACACATGTCAGGCACTGTTGTGACTTTTGTAGAAACACGTTTTTATTGAATCTCTGTGGTAACCCTATGAAATTGATACTATTATCTCTACAGAAGAGGAGACTGTAAAATGGCATAGTAATTCACCTAAAGTCACAGAGTCGGGATTGAACCCAGGCCATTAGGCTACAGAGTATTGCAAAGTACTACAGAGTAGTACAGGTAACCATTATGCTTGTTTTTTTCAATAATTTCCATATGCCGAATTTCAAGGCAGATGAGCAGGCCTTCCTTCTGAATCTTTCATGTTATGTGTCCAGAAACACAGTCTTGGTTAAAATTAGTTTCATGGAGAGGTTAACAACTCTGTGCTTGTTTTAATTTGTGTGATTGTAAAACCAATTAAAGAAAGGCCTGACTAATAAAATGTTCAATAGTTAAATTGTCATTACAAACATATGTAATTTAAATAGATAAATTTTGAGGCTAAAAAAGTTTTAAAAAATTTGTTGAAAATGATGACTTTCTAAAATGTGTTCTCTTAAACATGAAAAGGTATACTCCCAATGACCTACAGTACATTAAAACTTTCCATTTGGTAACTCACTCATTTGTTCATTTACTCATATCTTTTATTATTTCAACATATTAAATGGCTATTACAGTTGTTACATATTAACTCTAAAAGCTTCTATTGCTGTACTGTTTAAAAACACAGTTATAAATTTCTTTATGAATAGATCTATACTCAGTCATTCAAAGGTATTTTTCTAATTCTTATTGTTCAATTCAGATTCTTCACAGATGTGTATAAAGATAAAAGCATAATATTTAAATACCCTGCCAATTTGGGCAATACATAACATAGACAAACTTCACTGGCTTCTTCAGTAAATGAAGGAGATCTGCATTAATTAAACCATCCAATGAAATAGAGCAGAGATCATTTTAGTACTGGGTACAAAAATCAAGAATGCATTACTCATAAAAAAATTCTTACAGAGAGTTCAGTTCCATCTGCAAGGTTGTAATTAAAGGTGACACCAAGTTCAAAAACAACTTCAATGTTTCTAAAAGTGCTTGATTCTTTGACTGTGATTGTATTTCCTTCTTGTGTAATTGTCAGCTTCAAATTGTCATGAGCAGCAAGCTTCCTTTTCACTATATTAACACCTACAAAAGGTGAGGCAATGGAGAAAATAAAGTCAAATGCCATAGGAAGTGTTTATTTTTCCAAGTTCTGTTTTGTTTGCTTGTTATTTTTGAGGGTGGGAAGAAAACTCAGTAGCATTGCCTTTGCACTAAGAGCATTCAGATTGCTTCTACAGAAGTTCAGGTTCAGTCAGATCAAGAAAACTGATTAAAATTGTTTCTCCAAAACTTGAGAAAAATTAAGTAGAGTACAGAATTATAGAATCTTTGAGCTCAGCAACTTTAATAAGATTGACAAACTATTCATTTCAGTGTTAAGCAAATCAAATTCTAGAAATATCAAATGAAGGATTAAAATGTATACTCATATGTTTATAAGGAGGTATGTCGTTAATTCCACATATACAGTATTCTTTTTTCTTAAATTCCCCTTTGTTTTTCATAGTGGCTTTAAAATTTTGAACTTTATAATTCTCTTTTTTTCTTGTGGCATTTCTGACTGACACAAAAATGAGCAATTTAGCAAATATTATAGCCTAAATCAGTATAAGAATCTACAACTTTTATAAATTTAAACTTAGAAATCCTAAACTTTAGGCTATAATTGATGCAGTTTTTCTTTTAGGAAAATGACACAAATTTGTTTGCCTATCTTGTGTAGTATACAGACTGCCACAGTATTGGTATCAATTTAAAAATCAGTTAAATTAAAGCTCCCTGAAGAAAATACATAGCCTCTCAACATTATACCAAAACTTTTTATAAGTTTGAAGAAATGAGAATTAAATCTAACTTATTCAGAGCTATAAATTTAAAGAGACATTTTTTCCATTAATTTCTTATATGGTTTTAGCTTTTCCATCCCCTAGAATTGAATGTTTTTAATTCTAGAAGTTATCATAACACACTACCATTTTCTTACTGTAAACAACAAAACAGTTATTTTTCAGTTAAAGAGTGAAGGAAACATATCTGGATCTTTTTGGTGTGTTTCAGAGAACATCACTTGAAAAACCTTTCCTCCATTACTGAGATAGTGGATTCTTCCTAGTGTAAGAAGTGAGAATATGATTTCTCTACTCTGAACATCTTCTGGATCCTCACTACCACATCAGGAGCTATCCCTAAGCCAAGAGATGTAGGAGTTAGAAAGAAAAATGTCTGTAAGAAGGTAAGGAATGAGCCACAAAGAAATAGTCTTTACCCATTTTTTCCATGAACTTGTCATAGTTTTCACTCCGGTCTACCTTCCAATTGCCATCAAACGCCATGATGTCAGTTGAGTCAGCCTCCAGGCAATTAGAGATTCAGGTCTGTCCTTGGGTGAAAATTTATTCTATTTTCTTATCTTAGAACCAAATTCATACTGTGACGTGGAAGTTTAAAGTTCAGGAGATCACCTAACTACTCTATGTCAAGCAATTTTAATTCTCTTTCTGTACATTCCTAAGATCTTCTGGAATTCAACTGAATTAAAACATGAGAAGCATCCCTATTCTGTCTTAAACTACAATTTGCTGGCATACTTATTTCAAGCGTTAGAATGCATGTTGTCCAAAGATCATTTTTCTAAGTTCAAAGGGCACACTATGTTGGAGCTAACGTGATTTATGGCATATATCAAATAACATCTGGGAAATGAGACTATGACCTATCCCTTTTTCACAACAGCAAATTATCTTGTAAAGTAAGACTTTATGGTGAAATACAGGTGAAAAGTTACAGTTAATAAAATTTGGTTTCTAGTATGTCCTTTTGCATTGAGTTTACAGTGCCAGGAGTTTGGATAAATATCCTGCCATTTTGTACAGTGCATGACACACAATAACTGCTCATTGATTTTTGTCTTGATCTTGAATGGTGATAGGCCACTGAGCAAAATTTCAAGAGGTACAAATGTGGCTGGATAGTGTAAGAACTCCCAAAACAGAGATATAGACCAATAGAACAGAACAGAGGCATTGGAGGCAGTGCCACACATCTACAACAATCTGATCTTTGACAAACCTCACAAAAACAAGAAATGGGGAACGGATTCCCTGTTTAATAAATGGTTTTGGGAAAACTGGCTAGCCATGTGCAGAAAGCAGAAACTGGACCCCTTCCTGACACCTTATGCTAAAATCAACGCCAGATGGATTAAAGACTTAAACATAAGAACTAACACCATAAAAACCCTAGAAGAAAACCTACACAAAACCATTCAGGACATAGGCATAGGCAAGAACTTCATGACTAAACACCAGAAGCATTGGCAACAAAAGCCAAAATAGACAAATGGGATCTAATTAAACTCCAAAGCTTCTGCACAGCAAAAGAAACAACCATTAGAGTGAACTGGCAACCAACAGAGTGGGAAAAACTTTGCAATCTACCCATCTGACCAAGGACTTATATCAAAAATCTACAAAGAACTAAAACAGATTTAAAAGAAACAAACAAATTCATTCAAAAGTGGGCAAAGGATATAAACAGACGCTTTTCAAAAGAAGACATACATGAGGTCAAGAAACATATGAAAAATGCTCATCATCACTGGTCGTCAGGGAAATGCAAATCAAAACTACATTGAGATACCATCTCACGCCAGTTAGAATGGTGATCATTAAAAAATCTGGAGACAACAGATGCTGGAGGGGATGTGGAGAAATAGGAACACTTACACTGTTGGTGGGAGTGTAAATTAGTTCAACCATTGTGGAAGACAGCGTGGTGATACCTCAAGGATCTAGAAATAGAAATTCCATTTGACTCAGCAATCCCATTACTGGGTATATATCCAAAGGATTATAAATCATTCTACTATAAGGACACATGCATACATGTGTTCATTGCAGCACTGTTTACAATAGGAAAGACTTGGAACCAACCCAAATGCCCATCAATGATAGACTGGACAGGGAAAATGTGGCACATATACACCATGGAATACTATACGCCATAAAAACGATGAGTTCATGTCCTTTGTAGTGACATGGATGAACCTGGAAACCATCATTCTCAGAACAGAAAATCAAACACCGCACGTTTTCACCCATAGGCGGGTGTTGAACAATGAGAACACATGGACACAGGGAGAGGAGCATCACACACTGGGGTCTGTGTGGGGAACTAGGGGAAGGACAGTGGGGGATAGGGAGTTTGGGAGATATAACATGGGGAGAAATGCCAGATATAGGTGATGGGGATGGAGGCAGCAAACCACATTGCCATGTATTTACCTATGAAACAATCCTGCATGTTCGTCACATGTACCTCAAGACCTAAAATGCAATTTTATATATATATTCGCATAAAAAGAAAGAATGAGCTTTAAACATCTGCCATGTGCAGACAGAACACGAGCCAGTTTTAAGTATGCCATTAAGTAAAACTACTCCTTCGTTTTACTCTCACTGCCTCTCATCCCCAAACCCAGTAGAGTCAGAAGCCACAGTTCAACATGTATGTGGGGTCAGAGTGTAGAGGGTAGCTAGAAAGGTACAAAGAAAAGGTCACCATGTCTCTCCTTTCCCTGCTTCTGGCTGCCAACCTGGAATAGGCCAAGCTCGGGGAGGAAACTTGGTGTGAAGTAAGAGTTTTGATTACTAGTCTTAAGATGTTTATTACTAAAACAAGTCTATTATTGTGACTGAATGTGACCAGATAACATCTTATTAACTAAGGGTCAGGAAAGAAGCTCTAGGGCTTGCCCAAGATATTACTTAGGGTCAGGGAAAGATATATCTAACAGATTTGAACAGAGCATTGGAAAATAGAATCCTGGTTTTTAAATTTTGATATTATTTTATATTTTGATATTTAATTTGACCCAGCAATCCCATTACTGGGTATATACCCAAAGGATTATAAATCGTTCTTTTATAAAGACATATGCACATGTATGTTTATTGCGGCTCTGTTTATGATAGCAGACTTGGAACCAACCCAAATGCCCATCGATGATAGACTGGACAAAAAAAATATGGCACATATATACCATTGAATACTATGCAGCCACAAAAAAATGAAGAGTTCTTGTCCTTTGTAGAGACATGGATGAATCTAGAAACCATCATTTTCAGCAAACTGACACAAGAACGGAAAACCAAAGATGGCATGTTTTCAATCATAGGCAGATGATGAACAATGAGAACGTTCGCTTGGGCAGAGGGAAGGGAACAACACTCACAGGGCTAGGTGGGGGACTGGAGGGGAGGGGAAGGGAGGGACAGCAAGGTGGGGCAGGGAGGATGGGTAGGTATAACACCGGGAGAAATGCCTTATGTAGGCGACCCAGGGGTGAGGGGGGCAGATGGAGACAGCAAACCACCTTGGCATGTATGTACCTAAGCAACAATCCTGCAGGATGCAGGATGTGCACATGTACCCCAGAGCCCAAATACAATTAAAAAAAAAAACCTTTTAAACATTTTTGATATTGTTTGATTTTTAAATTTTGTGTTGCCCACTTTTTACTTTATTAGATAAGCACATTAAAAAGCAAACTATCTTCTCCTAGCCATATTATTTTATTAAAAAAGAAAAAGAGTTGCCGAGTGCAGTGGCTCCTGCCTGTATTCCCAGCTATTAGAGAGGCTGAGGCAGGAGAATCACTTGAGTCCAGGAGTTTGAAAACAGCAGTGTGAGACCAGCCTAAGCAACATAGCAAGAGCCTGGTTCTAAAAATTATAATAAAATAAATTAGCCAGGTGTAATGGAATGTGCCTGTAGACTCAGCTACTTGGGAGGCTAAGGCAGGAGGATCTCTTGGCCCAGGAATTCAAGATTGCAATGAGTTGTGATCATGCCAGTGCACTCCAGCCTGGGCAACAGAGAGACCCCATCTCTAAAAAATAAACACATATTTTTTTAATGTCAAAAATGGAAAGAAAAAAAAGGAAAGATAAAGAACACACATACACACTCATGAGTTAGGGACAAAGGTCATAATGGAAAGTTGTTTACATTCATAATTTAAGTTTTACTTTCAAAATTGGGTACATTGTGATTTTTTTTTCTCTTTTTGTCAGAGAATTAAAACCTTATCATTTGGGAATCATCAACCTGATATACTTTCAACTTGGAGGGAAGTGAGAACTTTGTTTAAAGCTGAGGACTAAATAGTCTTTCAGGTAGTCAACTGCTTATGGTGATTTGTGAACTCAGAAGCCTATGGATAATGAATCCAGTCTTTCTTTCTAGGTCAGAAAAATATGTATATCTGGTCACTGAAATAGAAATGTGATGCAGTGAAAAGAACATGTGTTTTAGAAACTCAGTGACTTGGGTTTCAGTACTGACTAAACACACATTCCTTTGTAGGATCTTCGTCAGATTACTCAACCTCTCTGAGCTTCAGTTTTCTCATCAATAAAGTGAAGACAATACTAATGCCTGATGTATATATTTTATGAACAAATTCCACAAAGCACCCACCTGAAAAACTTGTAGGTATCTGGTACTCAATAAACCTTTGTTTCTCTCCTAATTCTCTGAGAAAGGAAATCCGGCAGCAGTAACAATGTTTTAGAAGCATCCTAGGTCTCAAACCACTATAATATTTCGTTAAGAAAATCCGTGTTGTTCTGGTGTTTATGAGAAAGTCACCTAAAAGTTACTTAAGTATTTTATGACTTGCACTAGTGATCAACTTGGGATTGGCTATGCCTTGGATTTGCCTGTTAAGCATAGTATTGCACTGTATCACCCTCTGGGATTACATCTTTCCATTATGTGATCTCATAGCAATTGAAATGAAAGTGCCTGACTCAAGAAGGAAGGTTGGCAGGAAGAATCTAAAATGGCTTCTTACCATTTTCACGATGACCTCACCCATGTCTCATGGCCTCTTTAAGCTTCTCAGAAGGATCCGAATAGAATCAATGTAAAGCAAATAGCACTTGGGCTTATACAAGCCTGCTAACAAAATAAGCATGTTAAGTTTTCAATCTTAAATTTGTCAGTGGCAGTGACCTAATTTAACATTAGGTAGGAAATCCTATTATCTCTGTAGAGTAGCATCATTAGTTTTTTTTTTTTTTTTTTCTTAATGCTCAGATTACATTTATAACATTACACTTTTCCTTCTCCAGCTCCTCAACTCTGTAGCTCCCCAGTTTTTATCACTTACTTGTAGTCTATCTAGAAAAGAATATACTGAACTTGGGCACCAATTTCCCTACAGACCTTTCCTACTGATGATATGATTAAGCCTACAAGCTAAGGGCAGACCCGTCCCTTTATTTGCCATTTTGATAGTAGTAAAAGACTTGAGTCTTGCAGTTTGGGGACGTGAGTGGACTAAGTGTATGTGTGCATGTGGATGCAAATGCTATGGAAGTAGAGCTATAGTTATACGCTCTCGCTGTGGGCTCTGCAGTCAACATCACCCATTGAGTAGTCTGGAAGAAGTGGAAATCAGCAGAAACTTCTGTGGATCCCTATTTCATTCTTCCAAGGGAAGTATAAACTACAGTCATTAACATGGTTTACAAAGCCACAACTTAAGTCTCCCATCACTTTTTCCATTCCCTACCGTGTACTCCAAGATCTAGATCTATTAAACTTTTTGCAGTCCCCAATCCCCTGAATGTCCGTGCCTCTGTTGCTTCAGGTCTTAGCTTGGATGCTGATTGCTCAAAGATTCTTACCTCAAACTGCCAAAAGTGAGTGAGGCAACCCTTCTTCTCCCAGGTGTAATGACCTTCTAAAGGTCTCAGAGTAGCTCATAAAAGAAAAAAAAACCAGCTGATCCATGATAACCAAAGAACTATTGTTATCATGAAGTTCAACGAATCATTAGCAAGGGCGATAGGATGTTAAAATCTCATCTCAAAGGAATAATGTTCTAGAGATCACAAAAATCCTTTTACCTCATTGTATGATAGCAGGGATTGTTTTTATGGAGTATTATTCTTTATATATCCTTATTGCGAAATAGTATTTTAAGGC